CACTCAAGCCGTGGGGTCAGGGATTACAGGGAATTAGGGCAGGTTTGATTAGATTAGGCTGGATTAGAAGGCAGGGAAGCCACCCCATGGCTTGGGGAAGCAGGTTCAGTCGCCTGCCAGGACAAGCATGCTCAGCACAGGGACAGCGTGTGTGGGACGCACGCATGGGGCACATCCCGGAGCAAACCCTCAGCCTTATCCTCCAAAAGGGGGTTTATAGCCTTAATGTCCCAACCAAGGGAAAATTTGGGTTAGTGTCCTACAAGTGCCTGTGGTCAGACGGAGCGGGCAGCAGGGTTGAAAGGCTGCTGTTATCCTTGGCAACAGGGGCTTGGTCAGCACCCCAGGGCACCCGCTCATCTGGCTGCTGGCTGGCTTCTCCTGCCCAGCCGTGAGGAAGGAGGCAGCTCCTCTCCCAGGGTGCTGCTGAATCGCAGGGGACCTGTGGCACCCAGCGTGCTCCCGCCCCGCACAGCTGAGTTTCTGAGCTGGGCTTTTCATTTTGCATCTGTCATGGTTTAACCCAGCTGGCAACTAAGCACCACGCAGCCGCTCGCTCACTCCCCCCTCCCTCAGTGGGATGGGGGAGAGAATCGGGAAGGAAATAAAAGGTTAGAGCCGTGGGCTGAGATGAAGACAGTTTAATAAGAGAAAATAATAATAATACTAATAATGAGAATGATAACAGAATATACAGAATATACAAAACGAATGATGCACAATGCAATTGCTCACCACCCACCGACCAATGCCCAGCCCGTCCCGAGCCGCGAGCAGTCCCCGAGCCGCGATCAGTCTCCCCGTGACCGACCGACCGACTAACCCTCCCAAGCATGACGTTATATGGTATGGAATAGCCCTTTGGACAGTTTGGGTTAGCTGTCCTAGCTGTGCTGTACTCCCAGCTTGTTATGCACCTGGCCAAGCAGGAGAAGCTCAAAAAGTCCTTGAGTAGTCTGAGCACTACTTGGCAACAGCTGAAAACATCAGTGTGTTATCAACATTCTTCTGGTACTAAATCCAAAACACAGCACTATGCTAGCTACTGTGAAGAAAATTAACTCTATCCCAGCCAAAACCAGGACAGCATCTAATCCCCATCTGCCTCCTCCCTGCGCCCACGTAACGCCTCCCAGCATTGCTCGGGGACAGCAGCGTTTCCCACAGAGGGTAGCCGGGACAGGGGCAGCCCCTCATCCTCCTCCTCTTCCTCCCAGAGCTGTTGCTAACTCCTCCCTCTGGATGTCTCCATCCAGGCTTGGCTGACAGAGATCCACGAATATGCGCAGCAAGACGTGGTCCTCATGTTACTGGGAAACAAGGTGAGCCTGGCCCCATGGCTTCACCGGAGCCTCCTCTTCCTCCCCTTCTGTCCCATGACAGCACTGCAGCCGCGGGCAGGGGAGCCTGGGAGGGCGTAAGGAGGCATGGGGGTTGCCTACCACTGACCTTCCAAGTCATCCCAAATTGCTCTTTGCCGTTACCGTTGGCAGGTGGATTCAGCCCAGGACAGAGTGGTGAAAAGGGAAGATGGAGAAAAATTAGCCAAGGTAGGTGAGGGTGTCTGTTGGTGGAGCCGGCTGTTACATGCTCCGACGGGATGTGTGAGCACACCAGCGTGTGCTTGATGATGTAGACCAATGGGACGCTGAACTGGAGACCAGTCTGACCCAAAAGACATCTGGGAGCGCTTTGCTTTTCTTCCTTTACCCTGCTTTCCTCTTCCTCCTCATCTGCTTGTATTCCTCTAAGCATCCACTAACGTTTGTCACTTCTTTGTCCTCAAAAATTACTTCTGAAGCTGCCTAAGAAACGCCTGAGCTGTGAACCCTTGCTCAGCTTTTCCTGCCCACCGGGCAGAGCCCCTCTCCCAGGGCGGGATATGAGCTTGCGCAGGGGGCACCGATGTTGGCCGGGGCTCGGTGCGAGCCGGGAGCTGCCATGCCCCTGGGGACACCCCAGGTGATGTTTCTGACGCCAGTGTGTTTGTCCCGCAGGAGTACGGCGTGCCCTTTATGGAGACCAGCGCAAAAAGCGGCCTCAATGTTGAATTAGCGTTCACAGCCATTGCAAAGTAAGTGACTGGTGCGGCGGCCGTGCTGGGCACCTCTCCCACAGAGGGGGAGAGCAGTCTTCGAGATAAAGGCTGGCACTGTCACCCACCTTTTCGTTCCTTGGGCTCCCACCTCCAGTTCTTGGGCTGGCAGGTACTTGCCGTCCCACGTGAGCTATGAAGTGTCTTGTCCTGGGGAGCTTTAGCCAACCATCTAGGCCAAGTCAGGTTCAACTGAGTTGGGCTGGGCAGCTTAAAAGCAAGCGGCATAGGCAGAAAAGTAATGAGTTTGTCCCCTTCCCACAGGGAACTGAAGCACAGGTCCATGAAGCTGCCCAACGAGCCCAAATTCAAGCTCCACGACTATGTGAAGAAGGAAGTGAGAGGCTCGGGCTGCTGCAGGTCCTAATGCGCCCGGTGCATTTGTACAGAGACTCATGCCAAGTGTTTGTGGCTGTGCTCTCTCCTCGTGGACAGTGTGTGCATGTCTGTCTGTCGTGTCTGTATCTGCCTAAAAGGTGAGTGGAGACAGGGGGAATGGAAGCAGCAGCAGAAAAACCTCGCTCGGCTGGGACGGATGCTGGCCACACTGCAGCCACATGCCAGGCACCGCTCCCTGAGCCCCCGTCGCATCCATCCGCACCGCAAGCCCTCCAGCTTCCCTGGCCGGTCGCTCCCACCTGGATCGCAGCCACTTGTCCCCATGCAGGTGGGAGGTGGGCATTCAGGAAGGGACTGGTGTGGGCTGGGGTCGCTCCTTCCAGGGCCGGAGCTGGTAGACCCGGCTGTCTCAACCAGTTCAGCAGCAGCCAGGAGCGTTACGAGGCTTCTGTAGTGTTAGTAGGGATCACGGTGTGACTAAGGGGAACGAGCGCCTTCTCCGCACCAAACATCCGGGTAGGAAAAAGTCCCGAATTCCCTTTTCTTTCCCCGTGCAGCTGGAATTCAGCTTTTCAGACCCCTGGCCTGGGGCACACAGGAAGGACTTGTTTTCGAGGCAACCATTTTTGTTGTCGCTTACTTATGTCCGTCCATCTTCCGAGCGGTGTAACACACGTCCTCGATGAAGGTTTCTCCTCCTCCCTGCAGAAGACAAGAGCTTAGCCGCCTGTTTGAGCGAGCTCCTGCTAACCTCCCTGGCACACAGCGATTCCCTGGATGTGCATCTGTTCGGTAAAGGCTTCGGTTCTCTTACTACTGCTGTTCCTAGTACTTTAATTGAGAAGAAATCGCAGCTTATTCTAAATACCTTCATGTAAGTGTGGTAGCGTTTTTAGACTGCAAGAATGCTTTGATATCTTCAAAGCGTCTTGGGACAGCTCTTTCTGTTAACTGAAGCAAGCTGGGGGGATGCTGTAGGCATCGGTTCCGCAGGTTTCAGACTCTGCCAGCTCTCTTCGATGGACTCCTCGCCCCTTTGGTCTGTGTCAGGCAGTTGGCTTTTCTTTTTACAGATGCCCTTCTAAGTAAAAATTTGAATTTGGCCAAAGCATTTGGCCTTTGGCAATTTCCTTCTCTGAGAATTCCACAAACGAGACACCGGGTGCCCACCACATCGAACCTCCCCGCGCTGCCCTAAACGGGACGCTTACAATAAAACAACCCATCCTCCACTCCCCAGCCAAGTGCCAGCGCTCTCAGCAGTCGGTTCGGACGCCCCTGCCCTGTGCTTTGCTCGGGGTGTTGGCTCTGGCACCGCGTTCCTGGCGTGTGCAAAGACCCTCAGCAGCTCCCATGCACCATTTGGGCAGGCAGGGGCTCCTCAGAGCTACAGGAAAACGAGCAGCTACTGCTTAAAGTGGGTCCTGCACGATAACAATGAAAAAGGATCCTAAACCAAACCTACTGCAGTCAGAGCATTTTTTTTTTCCTAAATAGCTTTTTAGAGAGAAATAAGTCTTTCAGCGGTCTGATTTAGATTTTATTTAAATTATTTATTGAAAAAAAAAAAACCCCAAACCTTTCCTGCACGGCCCCTGCTGCCAGCACAGCAGGAGGAAGCAGGCGAGCTCCGCTGGCAGCAGGGGCAGTGGGGGAATGGCAGGCAGGGCCCCCCCAGGTCCCACCGCAGCCGATCCCAGGGGATGGCCAGCACCGGGGCAATCTCGCCTGAGCAGCAGCCATCCATTCCTCAGCTGAGACTTTCTCTGAAATACCCTTAAAGGCATTAAAATGCTCTAAAAGGTGGTAACGCCTGCCACAGGCACTCTCTTGAGATTTGTTCGCAGGTAGCAACAGAACACAGGGAGGCTCCGCACGTTATCGAGTGCTGTCAAAAAGCAGGCACGGAATCTGTAAAACGCGCTGTTTCATGCTGCTTTGGTGAGCTTTGCTGCGCTCCTGTGGCTGCTACTTGACTCATGTCTCCTACGCAAAGCCGCTCATCTTACAGCCACCTCCACCCTCATTCTGGGCTGCGTAGCGCCCGCTTGCTGGCTGAGGTTACAAAATAAAAGAAGGGAGTGGGATTTTTTTTTTTTCCCCCTCTAGTCCTGAGCTGGCTAAGTTTTGGTATCCCAGCCGTTCAGGGAAGGGCCAGCCCAGCAGAGGCACAGAGCGGCTCTAAAAGCAGCTCCAATACCGGATCTGTGCCCCAGTCTGCCGCCAGCACTGCATTTTCCCAGCCAGCCCGGCCTTAGCAGCACAGGAGCAGCGCCGGTCGCTGCGCAGACACCACCCCAGAAGCTACAGGGAATTTCCCCGAAAGCAAAAATAGCCAGCAGTGTTCCTAAGGCTCCTGTCGGGTTGCTGCCTTCTCTCTTCCTCACGGGGCAGGAGAGCCTTGCGTCTTGCAGGCTTGAAGAAAAAGCTTACAGCTCTACTTGGGACCAAAACCAGTTTAAAAACTAATTCAAGTAAGATGTAAATGCTCCCCTTTGGAGTGCTTTAAATACTCCTGCTGGGAGCTAACGCCACTGCAGCAGAGACATCAGAACTGCATTTGGGGTGTTACACCTAAACTTTAAGCCAGGCTCAGCCCCCATCACTCCCAGTCACAAGTTCGCTCTATACAACCGGTCTCCCAGTGCCCGCAGGCCGAGCTCCTCCTCAGACTGTTACTTGGCATCTCCTTACACAGGCCTCTGCTGCCACCAGGTGATGAAGAATGGCTCAGTGCATTCAAATAAGCCAGAGGACTCGGCATTACACGCAACTCCTCCATTTTTGCTGGCTCTTTGTTTACAGCTTTTGTTTCATTCCTGTTAATAAATTTTTTTAATAATCTTTGTGGCTACAATAGTATTTTGATCATCTAACATAGCACACCCACACCATTTAACCATTCGAAGAGCTCGGCTCGTTCTTGAACCCACCTAGATCCTTCTACTGCCAGCACAGGTTCAGGTGCTCCAACACACCCAGCAAGAATTAACAGGAGCTGGGCTAGAGCTAAGCCACAGTGCAGGTTTTAAGATGCTCTGGTTCCCTTCAAGTGAACAGCATTAGGAGAAATGGTCTGCTGGGTGCCTAAACACAAACTTAAGTTGGTTTGTGGTTTTACATGCGCCCTCCCCCCACCCCGCGTGGGATTTGTGAAGAACAGAAGTAAAAGCAAAACAAACCTTTTAAAAACTTTATTAAAAAGCTAGTTAGCCTCAAGGATTTAAACTAGCTGCCTACACAAGCTAGCACTGGAGTTCACAGATACTGCGAGAACTGGTGCCCTTGAGTCCTTCTCATCACCCACGCTGCTGCACCCAGCGCCTGCCATTACACGTGCTTCAAGCCACCGTGGAGCAACAGTCGATGACTGGTGATTTCTTGTATTTCGGGCACTTCTGCAGCTGCTTTTTCGTGCTTTAGACACTGCCCTGGCTCCCAGGTTGTACAGCGGGAGAAAGAGCAACCCCAGCAGAGTACGGTTTTTTCAGCCGTACCCGGAGCTGCGTCGCTCGCTCTGCTCCAGAGCTTGCGGCCTACGCAGGCCGAGGCCACCAAGGAGCCGCTCCAGCTCCCCCTTCACCCGGCCCGAGCCCCACTCGTGCTCC